TTGTTGTGCACGTAAAAAATCTTTTGGCAGTTGGAAACTGAAAAGAGTACCTAACGGCGCTGCCCGAGCAAAATCTTGAGTTACAAATCTACCTACAATATTTCAACATCCTTGCCGGTGCTACAGAGCATGTGCACTGTGCTGAGCTTCTTCGGACTCAGAAGAAGAACGGAGCACTTATGGGCTACTACCCGTGTGCCATGTTGTTGATCCGTTGTTTAAACCTCAAATCTATTTAAACTTGTAGCAATAAGTACCCAGTGTGAAAATGTGCCTGATATGGTAATAACCGCTGCATTCGTAACAGTATTTTCAGTAATAATCCCTGCTTTATTGCAACAATGCTATTTTTATTACAGCCAGATGTTCAATAAATGCAATTTGCTAAACCATGCACATTTTAGCAGCAATGATTTATTCACATCCAGAAACAAATTAATATGTTCGTATTGGATCTCTTTGTACCCAGCAGCATGCAAGTAGAGACCACAGTACCACGATATTATCATCAGTGTTATCGTACCCACCCACACTGGGCTACAAGTTACTTCCTAACTGTTTTGAGGTGTCCCAGTATAACTATCTTAGGTGGCTATATAGGTCTATCCCTATATAACCAATACAAAAGTAACAGAAAGCAACATTCAACAATTTTCCGTCTACGAACAGGACAATGCCGGCTCAACTACCACATGCATAAAATAAAGATTGTTCAGTCCCTACAGTTTGCTGTCAAACAGGACCATAAACACCTGAGCACATTCTGCAGACCTGCCCACTCTACATACAACTTTGAAAAGACACCTGGCCTCAAGAGCAAAGTGTGCAGAGCAAGCTATGGGGGAAACCATGAAGGACCTGCTTCTGACATGTGAGTTTAAAGAGGCAACCCACCTGATGGTCTGATCTGAGCACACGAAACCGAACAAAGAAAAGGAAGAATATATACCCAATACACCTAAAGGCATGGAAAAGGGTCCTTTACTTTACTTAATTATGTCTCTAGAGGGTTTCTGGGATTTGTACCTGTTTGATTATCATCCTTGAGATACTGATCCTAGAATCCTTAAAAAACGTTTTTATGTAGCAGAAGATCCTTCACAAAAAATGTTGTGCTGATAAGCCTTGTCTTTCCCCAAGAAAGAAAATAGGGGCCTGTGAGCTAAAATTCTATAGAAAAATTATCAGAATACCACGTGGACAAAGAAGAGGAGACATAAAGACATTTTTAAAGATCTGAACATCAAGGAAGATTGGCTAATAAACAGCATCTCGTTAAGGATGGCAAAATATTTTGGTCATATCAAGCACCATGGCGGATTGGAAAAAGTAATAGCAAAAGGCACGGTACCAGGAAGGAGGGGCGGATGTCAACCAACACGGATATAAGTAACTCCTTGAGTATCAAAGTACATGAGGCGGGAGAGCTGGGGAGAGACTGAGTTTCTTTCAGGCAGACCGTGATGACAGTGATGTTCTGTAAAGGACCTGCTACATGAGGATGATGAGCCCTAACCTTTTCTTCCAGGAACTACACCTTCCATTGCTTTCTTTCAAAACCCAAGCAGATTCTAATTTCCCTTGTGGGCTTCCGGGCTTTATTTTGAAGAACAAAGAACAGACATAATGGCCCCATAACAAGCATGCTGTTCGTTATCCATTCTAAATTTTATTTAGCTTGAAAATATTGGATGATTTGAGAAATGAGTCAGAGGGCCACAGAAACAAAAATCAGACATGATGGGTTCTAATCATACTGGGCCCAGCATGCAGGAACTGGCCAGAGGGCACTGTAGAATCACAAATTCAACACCCGATTCATGTCCCACCAGGGTGAGTATTTATACAGGTAGCTCTGTGCTAAGAGGCAGAAAAGTTGCCTGGGTGTTCACAGCAAAATTAAAAAAGAAAAAACATGTGGTGCACACCGCTTAGCATATGACATCTTTATTTTAAGAATGCAGGTGGAGGCAGCACTGCAGCTTTTAGGTGGCTTCATAACCAGCTGCAAACACATGTTCTGACTGTAACAGGCTCACAAAAGTGCTGAGAAAGGTGGGGACCATATGCTTCATGCAGAATGGCAAGCATTGCTACTGAGGTAGAGAACTGTTAGTACTTTGAGCCATTTCTCCAGAGCATGCTGGTGTTCTAGGAAATGAACAGACAGAGTGGCTGGTTCTGCACCACTTGATGGTTAGTTTATTCATCTCAAGGTAGATGTGGTCAAGGCCCTTCGGCAGCACATGAACAACGCAGAAAGTGGTGCGGTGGGAGTGCCCAGGGGGTCTGTTTGACACTTTTGTTATTTTGCATTTCAACGGCTGTTAACTCAGGTGGAAAGTTCGGGTTCTCGTGCAGTTTTGGACTTTGGTCTTATTTCAAAACTTGAGAGTTACATGCACATCCATTTTACAGGTCTGACTAATTTTTATGCAGACTATTGGTTTCTCACCTCTCAGGCACATGGACTCTGAACTTCAAGAGAAACAACCTTAATTAGTTGCCACCATGACATACCTGTGGGGGAGGGGGAGGGGAGGCAGTAGGTCAATTCTGTGTCATCCACAATAGGGCCCCGGAACCTATAGGGGAGGCTGACACTGAACCCTCAGGTAAAAGACAAGAGGGACATACAATCAAACTGCTTTTGTACTAATGGAGGTGGAACTCTGCAGTGGCTGTTAAAGATTGGGGTCAGAATGCTTATGAGAATGTTCCTACTTCTGTGATGTCTTAACTAATCTCAAAATAGGCTCTCATCACAAGTCAGCAGGTCATTTAAAGGCCCTATCTCTCTTCCTTGTATACTATACAGTACCTCTTTCTCTAGCCAATTCTCCAGCCCTATGTGATTTCCTAATCAATGCATCTTAGATGTCTTGTATCCACTTCATGGAGGTCTGCCTCTGCTGGATTCTCTTGAAGCTGTATCCTCCATCACCATTATCTTCAGGCTACCATGACATTTAACATGGCCAGAATATCTCAGCTTTCCAGACAGGATGCTGTTTATGGGACAGTTCTCCTGCCATGCTCAGGTCATGCAGGATGTCTGTGTTTTCCTTGTTCGTGGCCCATGATATTTTAAGAATATTTCTGGTAACAGTTAATTTCAAACGCTTCAACTGTGTTATTCCAATTGCATAGACTCCATGACTGAGATAAGCTCTACTTGTCATAAAATTATGTCACTGCTTAGTAACATAAGTGCCAGAACAGCTTTTAATAATTGTAATCTAAAATATGCAACCCTAGCTAATCATGCAGTAGCAATTTTCTTTACCAACCCACTAGACAACTCAGAGACATAATACTGAAATGTAATTAATATCTCTGAACTTTTGATGTACTCCCTACCATATATTATATCTTGACTTAAGGTGGGTGGAGATCCTAACACTTCAATCCTAATGGCAGTATCTGCTAACAAAAATATTGTGCTGGTGTACTGGGAAATGAACAGTTAGATAGACTGGCCAGTGGCTTGTTCTGCACTACTTGACGGTGAACTGATCTGGCCAGTGGCTTGTTCTGCACTACTTGACGGTGAACTGATCTGGCCAGTGGCTTGTTCTGCACTACTTGACGGTGAACTGATCTGGCCAGTGGCTTGTTCTGCACTACTTGACGGTGAACTGATCTGGCCAGTGGCTTGTTCTGCACTACTTGACGGTGAACTGATCTGGCCAGTGGCTTGTTCTGCACTACTTGACGGTGAACTGATCTGGCCAGTGGCTTGTTCTGCACTACTTGACGGTGAACTGATCTGGCCAGTGTCTTGTTCTGCACCACTTGACAACGAACTGATATCAGTGATACATGACAAATCAGATATTAGATGTAATGTCCTTTGGCAGTGAGGAGACACAAAAAGATCATCAGGGTCTGAGAAGAATTGTGGGCTCTCCTCGAAACTTCTACCCTGGCATTATGGCGGCCAAACACATATCCTAACACCTCAGCCCTTTGAAAAATTGTGGACTTGTCGGACATCCTGCCGAGGAACAAATCGCGGCAAAAACTAGGATTACTTGATAATTTAAAGAGACGCAACACTGCAGACGATAATAGCGACCGTTGACAATTTCACGCGTTTCTGCAGATGATACTAGCAGACGATACTAGCGACTATTGACAACTTCAAGACACGCAACATTACAGACGATAATAGCCACATGGCGGGAAGACCATGTGCTCCAACACAGATTAGCGTCATTGTTGTCCTCACACTTTTTGGCATTCACAAAATGCGCTTAAACTCACTGCCGACAGTTTCCCCTGCGCCGCTATGCGCGGCATGGATGGAGATCTAAACTAGATGCCTGGGACTCAAAAGCAAATAAATTAGAGGAAGTTGCTGGAGATGCGGTAGCTGCTGCTCGTGAGTCCCAGCCATCTAGTTTAGCTACCCATCCATGCCGCGCGTAGCGGTGCAGGGGATACTGTCAGCGGTGCGGCATTATCACAGAAACAGGTCCCCAATTAACATATCGCTGACCCTGTTAGAGCATTTGTTTCATTATTCGGAGCTGATCCTAGTGTTGCCGCGATTTGTTCCTTGGCAGAAAGTCCGCATTTTACACACGGCTGAGGCCCTGTTAGGCTATTTGCTTAGCCGCCCTAATGCCGGGGCAGAAGTTTGGAGGAGGGCCGAATTGTGCAGCAAGGAGTGACCAGGCAAGGCATTCTCCAGTTGGAGAAAATGGTTTGGACCAGGGGATCTCTGGTCGACGGTCAACACACTGACAATCAGAGCGTTACCGGTTTCATCGGAATTAAAACTGAACTCTGAACTAGCTGATGAAGATGGGGACAGAACGCTTATGGAAATATCACTAGTACTGTAATATAGATTCTTAATTCAACGCTGTTTAATGCATTAGCTATGATTTTTGTTTATCCAGCTAATATTTGGGTGTTAACGCCGGCCTAGCAGAAGCTGCGTAATCAAGAATTAATTAAAAAATTAATTAGTGACAACATTGATTTAGACTCACTCATTATTCCACTGGAGAGAAATATATCGCCGTCAAAATCATGCTTATCGTGTGTCACATCGTCAATAAAAACATCAGAAGGCATATTTAAACAACAGGGTTACGGCAAAGACAAGCTCTCAAACAGCCGTCGTGGACATGCTTGCAGAAGTCACAGTGAAGCTGGAGTTGTCCGAAGACCGTTGATATTGTTTGCGGTTGTCGCAAAACTGTGACGTTGTACTTCCGCTGTGGGCGGTGCACACGCCGACACGGTTTCTGTGGAAACCTGGTCTTGGCGTGTCGTCATGTAGTCCATCTTCATTAACTCGTACTCCCCCATGTGGATTCTAAGGCACCATTGTGGATGTGTATGTGTGTTTTTTTTTTAAAGGGGGAGGGAGTAAGAATAGATCCACTGCCCCCAATAAGCATTCGTAAGAGGCACTAATTGTATATAGTTAGTTAATCGACAGGTTTTCCTCATTGCACGTCGAACTGTCCATAAGTGCTCGGATCCCCGCCCCAGTAAATCCCGCAGCGGCTAACGACACCAGTTCTGTGTTGGTTTACTCTTCTTCTTTGGCTACCCGCGTAGTGTTCTTGTTTGGCGACACCCCGCTTAACATGTTGTTCTTGCAGTCTGACCATGGTTGCAGATTCACAGTTCTCAGTTGGTTCACGCAAACGTCTTAACTCTCTTAGAGCATTCAGTATATCAGCCTGGTCCATGGCTTGTCCGGTTTTCACAGTAGCCTTATCTGCAAACCTATCAGCTTGCTCATTTCCTTGTACCCCCACGTGTCCTGGCACGAAAATGAAACTAATCCTTGTCAGCCATGAATTCTGTAGAGTCACCAACCACTGCCTTCGGACCAAGCACTTCACTATCTTCCTGAGCATACTCATCGAGTCACTGAGAAAGCATGCTCCAGTGAAAATCTGTGTCTCTAGCCATGTTACTGCTTTAGTCACATTCATGACCATAGTCAAACTACTTGTAGTTACGGCAAAAGCTTCAGAATCTTCCTTTACAACTCACCTTTCAAACTGAGCCGTGAAAGCCCACGAACTTCTAACGTGGCGGATTACAGAACCACCTGTGTAAATGACAGCATCACCCTCTAGAGCGTTCTCGAAAATCAAGGCTTGAACTTCTGCTTCCACAGCAGCCAAACTCTGTTGTCTGCATTTTCTGTTTATTTGGATGCAAACAGAAAAGATGTATAGCACTCTGAAGGCACTTGCACCCTCCTCGCCGGGCTCTATGTCCTCAAGTGAAACTACCTGTAAAATAATGTCCTCGGCTTGACCCATCCAGGATTTGCCTCTTTTTAACCTGCTGCCTTTTATCTTCTTGATTTGCCCGTCTCTCTAGCGTAGTTGGCTAAACCGGATTGCGCGGTGAGCGGGTGACGAACTCCTTGTGGTCCGGGTTCACTCCCGGGGGTAGGCAGAAAAGCCACATTTCTCCCAGATTTACGGTATTTACAATGGAATCAAGGCCGAAAGGTTGCGATATCCATAATACCGAGCCTAAGGGTTAACAACTCATGGCTTCTGGATACTAAAACAATCTTCTTGATTTGACTATGTAATGAATGTTGTGTGTTCGCCTTGACTGTGAGGTAGGCACGAGCTCGGGAAATTTTTATTATGTCTTCCATGGTCGGAAAATCGAGAAGGTAGCGCATAGCCCTGCATGATATATATATATATATATATATATATATATATATATATATATATATATATATATATATATATATATATATAAAGTAAATAATATATAATGCGCATAGCCTCGTTCTGTAACCTTTCTATCCATTCCATCTGCTTATTGCTGAGAGTTAGGATCGCCATCGAGTATTCGAAAACAGAAAGAACCAGACCCTGGTATAGAAGACATAGATGACGCTGCTCACAGTTTGCCGCCGCCATCACTCTCATCGCAGCCGAACCCCGCTTGGCTTTCGTCAGTATAAGCAAGTCTTCGATAAAAATGTATCCCCAGGTATTTCGTTGCATTCGTTCTTTCCACAACCTCAGAACACAGACTAACAACTGGTGTTGGAGTTTTCACAATATGATTATTCAAAGATAACCATGTCAATGCCGCCTTCGTTGGGTTGCCCAGAGCACCAGCCTTACCACACCATGTGCTTATGCGAGTGAGTCTTTTTGGAACCTTCTCTCTACCCTTACCCTGACGATACACTAACACATCGTCAGCATATGACAGTGTTCTTCCGGGTCCTGTGATTTATGTATAGTTTCCTTCGAAGTCGAAGTGCATCTGCCGTAGAGGCGAGGAACAAAGTCTGCATACGCATAGTCAAGATGTGTAAAACGTGTGTGCACGAAAAACTCCAAGTTCTAGAACAATATCAAGACCAGACGTGAAAAAAGACTAGAAGTTGACAAACAAACAGCGCTTGCAGATTGTTGAACTAAGAACTGTCATTACATCACTCGGGACATTCTCATAAGCGCCCCGTCCTTATCTTCAGCAGACAGTGGAGAGTTTTAGTTCTAGTAGTGCATGTCCATCTGCCTTTCCTCTGAGTGTTAAGTGTTGACCAGATCCCATGATCACTCCCAGCTGTACCATCTCTCTCCAGACATTAGTGATAGATTCGTGCCTCTCCATCGTTCGCTTTGACCATATCTAGCTTGTCATGCATAAACTCATCACCTACTAGTGCAGAACCCGCCAATCTGCTTGTTCATTTCCAAACACTCATGAATACCCCGGAAAAAATATCCGAAAGACGCTAAGTACCCGTGAGGCTTACCACTTTGCAAGGAGTATGTCTGTCTTCACTTTTCTTAACAAGTTTTGTAAGTCGAATGCTCAATTAAAGTTGCGGATGGGGAAAAAAAGGGGGGGGGGGAGGGGTACGTTTTTTGAGAACCGCCTAATCTATCAAATGGCTTCTATCTCGCCTAGGGGATTTAACTTCCAACACAGCGTTAAATAATACTATACTTAATTTCCCAGCTGCGCGCTGGATAGTTAAAGAAAAATGTATTCTCCTGTCCTATATTTCACCTTTGTCTCTATCGCTGTTGTATGTTTGATCATTGTCCCAAAGTGCGTATGAGACTCTAGTACTGTTTACACCAGTATGTAAAAATGTGGTGAGACATTGCCTAGAAAATTCCCAGTACTCGTTCTTATGTAGCCTCTGTACAGGGGCGCCGACGCAAGGAAAACCTTTAGTAAGCCATAACACATTTTCTATGGGTCAGGAACCGTAGGCTCAATGGGCCAAATCTTAAGGTGCGCAATAAGTATTATTCTTATTCTTATGTACAGGGTGAAAAGTACCTCTTAATCCACAACTTGGACATTGCGTAGAGATCCGTAGAGATTCGGGTTTCAGGGAGAGATAACAGGAAAATAAAAAAAAATAAAAAAATTAAAAAAAATTATTAAGAGATGCAATAGAAAAGTTATATTTTGAGGGATAAACTCCAGCGGAAGTTTACATTTACTGATTTGTGCAATAAATAAAAGTAACGCACATAAACCTGGCAGCTAATGTGATAATTAAATTAAACATTGTAGCTGTATAGACAATTTTAAATTTAACTCATATACTGATCATGGTTTACAAAGAGTTAACAGTTGACTTAAAATTAACACACAAAATACAGAAAGGCATTTGTGCTTTAAAGTATAGATTGGTGAGTCACGGACAGTTGACACTTCCATCCGGCTAGTACCAATTTTATCTCTTCACAAATGTGTCATGACTTGAGCTTGCCAGACTTTCGGTATTAGATCAAAATTTCTCTAGTGATTAAGCTGTGTTTAAGACCTTGACAGCAGTGTGCATCGTCGCTCAAAGATGATTTTTTAAGGTCGCTAGAAGCGAACTCTTTCCTTGTTAGGTGGCGTGATTAGCGCGTGGCCTGTGTGAACACGATGTTTGATGTTAATGTATTGTTATTTGTGAGCAACGTGAGTTTGTGTTCAGCAAAATAAACAGATATCAAATGTTCTCTAGGAAGCAAACCTGTCTGATTGTGTCTTTTGCCTGAGCCATCCATGACCTCCCTCTTATCAGCTGACCCTTAACTGCACCCAAAGCTTCATGCAAAGGGGGGTCTGTGCCTGCAGCTACCCTGAGATATGACTTCGCCTGCAGCACCTTGTGCCTACCTGCAACTATCGGCAAACTAAGGATGTATCGCATACACACCACTGAGGTGTCTCTGGTGCAACCCAGAATGACCGGCTTAGCCGCGTTCTGTATGCGCTCTAGTTTGTCCATCTGACTCGTTGAGACGGTAAGCAGTCCCAGGCCATAATCAACCACTGACAGGATCAGGTGCTGATATAGTGTGAAAAGCATTCTCTGCTCTATGTCAATTGCAGCCATAGTCTTAAGTGCACTATGTCCTTTTTGGCATCTCGTCACAACACTCTCCGCATGATCCTTAAATAACAAGCTCCTGTTAAATGTAATTCCCAGATACTTCAGTTTGCTCTCTCCCTCTCTCTGTTGACGTTTCTACCATCTATTGTGAGACTTGGGACATTAGCTTTAGCGATTCTGTTGTCCAGAGAACACTACAAAACATACGCCTTTTCCGCGTGGACGACAGCCCTCATTGCTGTACACCACTCAGTCACTTTGTCTTCTGTCGCTTGTAGCTCCCGGGCTGTTTGTTCCGTTTCTTCCCCCTGCCTATATGCAAGTATATCATCCGCAAAAGTCAGTATCCTTCCAACTCCTGGTGCTTCAAGGCTTGCAATCTTGCTCGTATACACGTTGAAGAGCACAGGCAAGATGGCGAATCCCTGTAGCAGTCCTGGGGCCAAAATGCATGGTTCTGAGGTCCATGAGCCCAGTCGGAGAGCAACCCGACGTGAATACAGGACAGCTGCAACCCAATTCAGCAGCCATGGACTGGCCTCCTTCTCCTTCACTGCAGTCATTAAGATGTCGTATCTCACCCTGTTATAAGCATCCTCGAGATCCAGTCTTACCGCCATAGTTTCCTGTCTATTCTGGAACCCTTCACAGACGTCAAAAGCAAAAGTGGCCGCATTTGCCCCTGTGTCCTTTCCTGGCCTGTAGCTTCCCAGAAAATACA